CTTTTTACTTGTCAACCTTGGGCTTCTCAGCCTCAGCAGCCAACAGCTGTCTGAGTGAAGAAATGCCTCTAGCTCCAGTGGGCCGGGAGCAGAAGGCAGAACTGGACCCCAAGGTTGAGGGGCTTTCACCCAGTCCCTAGAGCCTGGCACTTTGAACTTGGACTTAAAACCTCCAAATTGTAAGAATAAACTCCTGTTTGTTAAGGCCATCCCCTTTGTGGTATGTTTCCTGTCAGAGTAGCACTAGGTAACCAGAACACCTATGCTAGTAGATTCCACCATGGAGTTGATGGCCAGCCTCATTATGGTAGATTCAGATGTGCAGCCACTCAAATCCAGGCCCTTGACTCACAGCTTAATTTCCACAGTGCCCTAACCGAAGTCATGGTATTTTCAGTTGCCTCATCTGCATATGAGACCTGGACAATGAATAAAGAAGACCAAAGAAGAGTTGATGCTTTTGAATTGTATTGGAAAGTGTGGTGTAGTAAATTACTTAGTGTGGCTTTTCTACCCATAAGTCTTTGTAAACTCAGTGGTGGAATGAGCAACTGAGGAGCTCCTGATTGTAAATGTTATCCACGTGGAGTATTTCTGTTGGGCGTGGCACAATACAATGTTCTGGTAGGTTCCCACTCCCTCTCAGGTGCTTAGAATTCTGATGCTGTGATTGGCTAGTTTGACCACCCTGCTGGGCTCAAAAGGAGGCCTCCTGGAGGCAGAATGCTCTCTGACTGCTGGTTGAGGAAGATGAGCTGCTGAAAGAGACACACGCCCCTGAAAGAGACACGTGCTGCTGGGAAAGAGACACAAGAGACACGCATCGCTGAGTGAGACACCGAGGGACCAGTACTGCTGGGAAAGAGACTGTGAGAGACTGTTGGCTGAGGGACGGTGGGCTGAGAGAGAGACTGAGCATTTTTCCTGAACTTGAATTGTAGCCTGTGGTGCTTCCCTAATAAACCCCAAAATCTGTGAGCTCTGTGTGGCCACTGCAGTGAATTATCGAACCCAGGAGAGAGGTGGTGGGTGCTTTGGGAGGAACGTTGGTGAAAGTGCTGGAGAGAGGCAGCATGTCTGGCCTTGCAGTAAAAGGCCTTGGGTTACTGCTGGTAATCCTGTCTTCCTCTCGTGGGATTAGAGGAGGTCAGAACATGTGGCCTCCTTGCCATTTTTGCAGAAAGGATACTGAAAATACCATGGGCTGCCAGAGTAATTAACCAATTTTTCCTGGAAGAAGTGCATATTGGACAGTGGAATGGCCAGACTTGGTCTTACTTTGGTTGTGTTGTTGGAAGGAATCAAGCCCTGGAGAATAATATGTTTTGTAAAGTGTGGCGTTGGTGAAAAAAGGGAAGACACTCCATGAGATTGATTGACACAGTAGCCGCAACAGTGGGCTCAAGTATAGCAGGGATCATGAGGATATCACATGACCTGGCAGTGTTTCATTCTGTGGTACATGGGTTCTGTCTAAACTGGAGCCATCTCTACATGTAAATGACAAAAAAAATAATTCTAGATTCCTCAAACATATTACTGAGCAGGCTGCTTTCAATGAGTTTGTGTCACTCTACACAGTGTTTGCAACAGTCCATTTCCCACATGGATCCTGAAAGCTTCAGGAGCCTGGTATGGGAGGATGGATTAATGGCTTGATACTGGAGGGTGACACACGTTTAAAGCAGCCTGCTTGGCTGCTATCTTGGAAGGTATATAACTGTTCCTTTCCTACTCGGTTCAAATTCTTACCTCCAGTTGATTTGGTTACTCTGCAACAGGTAGACTGCTCTTGTGTAGATTGCAATTCCTGAACTGTGTCAAACTACATGAAAACCCTTATATGTACTGATGTGTATATATACATATGTACACATACATGTTCATATGAATAAAACTAGTTAATGAATTATGTGTTCAGAAAATTTTTACCACATTTTCAAAAATACAAGACAGATAGGGAATATTTTATACATATTTTACTTTGATTACTGGGAAGCCTTCTATTTTAGAAAAATTCTGACCATGATGGTCATATTTCTGCTAGATAAATTAACATGGAACATGAGATAAATCAGTACACAAATCACGCACAGTCATTGTGTCTTGTTACTATGGAATGGGAACAAATTTATTTCCAACAGTCTGTTTCCTATGTTTAACAGAAGTCGTAATGGAAAGATTCTCTGTGAAAGTAATGACGACAGTCTGTGTGGGAAAACCTTCAGCCGTGTTCCAGATATTGCTGTGGTACAGAGGAACCCTCCGGACGTCAATCCTTTTCAATCCTGTGTCTGGGGAATGGCTTTCATGGACGAGTCATCACCTGAGTGTGACACCAGATCGTACTTCCCAGGCAATACCTGTCACTGTATGAAATGTAGAGAAGCCTGCAGTTGTCCCTCTCATGGCACCATTCATGTGACAACTCTCAAGGGAAGAAAGCTGGACAGATGTAATGTATGCAGGAAGGACTTTTGCATGTCAACTCTTCAAGTTTCTGTGACAACACCCACTGGTGAAAAATGGTGTGATTGTAACAAATGTGTGAAAGATTTTTGTAGTTTCTTGTCTTTTTGGACACATGTGAGATGTCATGAACTTGAATGTAAAGAATGTTGTAAAATAGGTACTCATCTATCATCTCTGATGTTTCATACAAAATTTCACAAGACAGATAAGCATTATGAATATAAGGAATGTGAGAGAGCATTTAGTTGGCTTTCACAGCTCCATATACATAAAAGAATTCACAGTGGAGAGAGCCCCTATGCATGTAAGGAATGTGGGAAAGCATTTATTTGGCCCTTACCCATCTTTATACATAGACAAATTCACAGTATAGCAAAATCCAGAGAATGTAAGGAATGTGGGAAAGCATTTAGTCAGTCTTCAAACCTTTCTATACATAACAGAATTCACGGTGGAAAGAGGCCTTATGAATGTAAGGCATGTGGGAAAGCCTTTAGACATTCCTCATGTCTTACTCAGGGTATCACAAAACATACTGGAGAGAGTCCCTGTGAATGTGAGGAATGTCAGAAATCCTTTACGTGTGCCTATTCCCTCTTCTTACACATAAGAAGAACACATAGTTCAGAAAAGGCTTGTGAATGTAAGGAATGTGGGAAAGCCTTTACTCTTGCTGCAGTACTCACTGCATATAAAAGAATTCATGGTGCAGACAGACTTTATGAATGGAAAGAACGTGAAAATGCCTTCACCCAGGCCATAAAACTCACGGAACACATGCGAGTTCATAGTGGAGAGAAGCCTTATGAATGTAAGGAATGTGGGAAGGCCTTTAGTTACCCCTCATTCCTCACTGTTCATATGCGAACACACAATGGAGAGAGGCCTTATGAATGTAAGGAATGTGGGAAAGCCTTTAAACAGGCCTCACACCTCACTTCACATATGGTAACTCACAGTGTAGAGAAGCCTTATGAATGTAAGGAATGTGGGAAAGGTTTTACAAATGCGTCATACCTCAGTATACATATGCGAATTCACAGTGGAGTGAGGCCTTATGAATGTAAGGAATGTGGGAAAGGCTTTATAAAGGCTTCACACCTCACTGTACATATGCGAACTCACAGTGGAGAGAAGCCTTATGAATGTAAGGAATGTGGGAAAGCCTTTAGCCAGGCCTCACACCTCACTACACATATGGGAACTCACAGTGAAGAGAAGCCTTATGAATGTAAGGAATGTGGGAAAGCCTTTACAAAGGCCTCATACCTCCCTGTACATATGCGAACTCACAGTGAAGAGAAGCCTTACGAATGTAAGGAATGTGAGAAAGTGTTTCCAAAGGCCTCCCACCTCACTGCACATATGCGAACTCATATTGGAGAGAGACCTCATGAGTGTAAGCAGTGTGGGAAAGGCTTTAGAAAGGCCTCCAATCTCACAGTACATATGCGAACTCACAGTGGAGAGAGGCCTTACCAATGTAAGGAATGTGGGAAAGCCTTCACACAGGCCTCAAACCTCACTGTACATATGCGAATTCACAGTGGAGAGAGGCCTTATCAATGTAAGGAATGTAGGAAAGGCTTTACAAAGGTCTCACACCTCACTGTACATATGCGAACTCACAGTGGAGAGAAGCCTTATGAATGTAAGGAATGTGGGAAAGCCTTTACAGAGGCCTCACACCTCACTAGACATAGGCAAACACACACTGGAAAGAGGCCTTATGAATCTAAGGAATGTGGGAAAGCCTTGACAAACGCCTCATACCTCACTACCCATATTGGAATTCACAGTTGAGAGGGGCCTTATGTACGTAACGACTGTGGGAAATCCTTTAAGAGTTCATCACACCTCACTGGACACATGAAAATTGTCAGCGGCCAGAGGCTTATCAAAGCATTCAGTTCTTTCTCAACCCGCAAGACAAAGAAGAGCTCCCAGTGGAGGCAGGTTATAGGATTATAGGATGGTAGATGGGGGAAAGCCCAGGGTAGTTCCTAACACTTCACATGTGAAAACTCACAGTGCAGAGTCTATTCTGTAACAATAGTGGGCTGTTTGCTCCTGACTCTTAAAATTTCAAAGAGCAAATTTCTGAAAATCTCCACTTAAAGAACAAAGTTTCTCAGTGAATAACAGGTCAGTATTAAATAAGGGGTCATTAATAGTACTATGTGCCTTTGGGAGAAATGACGGTTTTACTTTAACTCTTGTACTGTCCTCATCAATGTTTATTACTTACTGAATCCAAGTGAAATTTTGCATTTCTTACGAGTCTTTGTCTAGCCCAGATCAGGCTACAGGAATTGTTGTTGTTGTTAGGTGCTTTCGAGTTGCCTTCGAGTCATAGCAGCCCTCTCTGCACAGAACAAAACACTGGCTGGTCCTGTGCCAGCCTCACAAGCTTTGCTATATCTGAGTCCTTCATTTGAGAGTTTTACTGTGTCTTATTTCTGAAAATGAACACATTTTTGCCATACTTTCCTATGAGAAAATTGACTATTTGACACTTTATGATTAGTTTCTCATAGGGCGACATTTTGAGATTGTGCAACTATTATCTTTTTTTTTTTTTTTTTTTTTGTATTTTGGCCTACTGATTTTCATAGCCATTGATAAATATTACCTATAATTATTAGTACTGTGGTCTTCACCTATGCCCTGTGGTGGCATAGTGGTAAAAGCATTTGGCTACTAACCAAAAGGTTGGTAGTTAGAATCTACTAACCACTTCTCAGATGCAAGATGAGGCAGTCTGTTTAGTTAAGACTGACAGCTTTGGAAACCCAGTCAGAGTCAGTATGAGTCAGAGTCAACTCGCTGGCAGTGAGTTTGCTTTTTTTGTGTGTGTTTGGTAGTCACCAAATGGTATTTCCTGTTCCAGTCATTTCTTCTATGTTTAGTCATTGGAATTCTGTAAGAATGAGCTTTCCCTTCTCTCCTCTTTATTTATTTATTCAGTTGTTGATAACAGTAGAGTCAGTTGCCATATTACAAATGAGTTCAGTTCTAAGTCTGCCTTTAAGATAAATTTGTATGCTAATTTATTCCTAAATTGAAACAGTTGGTGTGTGTATGTAATACAAGTTAAATATGTGTCTTGGTATATATAGTATGTAGCATGCCTTTGTATGAATAAAAAGCATTAAAAAACAGCAGTTCAAAGTTGATTATTGTATTTAGAGATAATGTATATGACACTCATACTGTTTTGATGCCCCTCACAAATTAGTATCCATTTGTCTTTTTGGACAAGTTCATTGAGGAGCCCCAGGGACGCACCACATGGGCTTTGCTCGTACCAACCAAACATAAGGGATTGGGCAGATGTGTAAGAGAGAGAATTGCAAAGAATGGACCCTGCCCTACCCAGTTCACTTGTGCCATCATGGAGGTGCTAGCCTGAGCCTGGCTCCAGCAGTGAGAGGGAGCAGCATGTAGACGGGGGGTCACCAGTCTGTAAGGATGGGGCCTGAGTTCCTGCAGGAGGCTGGCTTAATGTGGGCGAAGCTTAATGTAGTTGTTTTGTAGCTGTGGGTTTTGGGTAAATTGGACATTTCTTAACCAGGCTCTGCCATATAATCAAATCCATATTACTTCTTTCTTTTCTTGCACATACTATTACATATTTGTTTACTTTAAGCTCCTTTCAGTATTCTCCCCCTTTCCTTTTCCTGGGCTTACACTGTAAACGTTTTAGGCTTTGTAGGCCAGCTACTCAAAACTTTTAACTGTGCCATTGTAGCTCAAAAGCAGGTATAGACAGTAGTCCTTGAATGGTTGTCCATTTTCCAAGAATAAGGTGTTTCCAAAAGCAGCTGTGGGGCACAAGATACCTCGGGCTGTGGTGTGGGCTGACCCCTGACTTCGTAGATTCAACTACAGGGAGCCAGCAAATCACAGAGGACCCTTCAAAATGAACAGAAGGCTTCTGTGCAGCTTCCCTTCTGTGAGTGCACCTGACATGGTAAAAGGTATAGGACAGTTACCTCACTGAGGCCCTGCCTAGTGACAGTGGCCAGTGCTCATGTAACTATGAGACCCTCCATTATCCTGACCTTCTTCCCTGCTACCCACCTTCTCTGTTTAAAAAAAAAAAATGTCTTTTGAAACAACTCAAACTGATGGCAGTCATTCAGTTTCTTCTCTTTATGGTACTGGAGAATTTGACAACAGATATGGTGGTGGATGCACATTATGAACAATAAAACCAAAACCCACGATCACTGCCATGCTGTGGATTCTGACTCACAGCTCTCCTTGTAGGATGGAGTAGAACTGCTACGTTGGATTTCCATGGCTGTCAATCTTGATGGAGGCAACCCCCAAACCAAACCCACTGCATGGAGTGGATTCTGATGCATAGCGCCCCTAGAGGACAGACTGGAACTGCCACCCAGGATTCCCAAGGCTGTCAGGCTTTACCAACGCTGACTTACTCCTCTTTCTTCTTTGGAGCGTCTCGTGGGTTAAAACCAGTGAACTTTTGGTTAGCAGCCCAGTGCTTTAACTATTGTACCAGCAAAACTCTTTGATCAATGTAACAGATGTTACTGAATTGTATACATGAAAACATTACATCTGAAAATGTTGTTTGAGATATATCTATTTACCAAAAATAAAAAACCCACCTGTATTTTTATATGGGACAACTGAATCGTGAACTTTGACATTTTTGTTATTATTCTCAATGTATTTTATTATTCTTACTGTCTTTCATATTTTGAAAAGGAACTCCATACTCATGATTAAAAAAAAAAAAAATACACATTCAGATGTTACATGTCCATTCGAGCCCCATCCAACCGAATATACATCCCTGGTGGGTTTTTTTTTTTTTTTTTTAATTTATGTCTTTGTTAGAACAGTTTGGTTTTGCAAATATTTAACACAGAGAAATGGGGGGGAGAAGGAAAAGGAACAAAGACTACGTCATTATTCTTAAACCTGGGGGTAGCAGCAGAGCCTATAAGAAAAGGGTTCAATCCAGAGCTTCTAATTTAATGTCTGCATGGCTCCACCCCAGCAGATGAACAGCCTTCAAACCTTGGGAACCCAGCGTGTGCAACCTCTGGAGTTTGCTGGGTACCAGCTTCCAGAGCAAGGCCTTTCTCTGAACTTTCCCCCTGTGCCAGAAGTGATACCGAAGTACCTTATCATCTTGGTTAAGTTCTCCTGGTGATAGGGCCACCCAAACTCAGCCCGGCCTTTGGGCTCCAACCGTCTCATGAGGAAAATGTTCTGTGACACACGGTGTGAGGGATGTGTTCATCCGGCACAGAGATCACTTCCACCAGAAATGCCTTGAGGTGAACGCTAAACAAAGAGACCCACTACTGGCGAGTCAATTCCAACTCATAGCGACTAGTACAGAGTGGCACTGCCCCATAGGGTTTCCATGGCTGTGTCTTTACAGAAACCAACCAGCTCAGCTTTGTACACTACAGCAGCTGTTGCGTTCAAAGCGCCAACCTTTTGGTTAACAGCCAAATTCTTTAATGACTACACCACCAGAGCTTCATGATGTGAACGGAATTCAATTGATAAAGAGTTGTTTATCGATTAATACAAATTAATTAAGTACAATTAATAACAAATGAAAAAATGTTTGCACAGCATCCAAATCACATGAGGTCCTGTGTCACAGAACGTGTCATTGATAGTTGTTACGTGCCCTCGAGTCGGACCCGACTCATAGCGACCCCTCCTTGGGTTTCCGAGGCAGTATCAGTACGGAAGTAGATTGCCCTGTCTTCCTTCCAAGGAGTGGCTGGTGGATTTGAAC